GCAGATAGAAATTTCTTTGGCTAAATAAGAAATACTCGCATAAAATATTCTAAATAAACGATAATGATAAATTCTTTTAAATTTTATATTCTTGTGAGCTTTATTATTAGGTTTATCAATCGGAAATAACTTATCTGAATCAAATTATCACAAAAAAAAAACCAGAATTCTCACTGGGATTTCCATCCTATAAACATATCATTATCATAACACCATTAATTTAGAATCATTAATTATAAAATATATTGTATAAAATATCATATAAATTACTCGTAAATGTAACTCATAAATGTTGCTAAATGTAATACAAATTAAATTGTCTAATTGATCCAATATACGATTTTTGTAATACAAAAACAATTCTTTATTTTCATGTTTTAAAATTAATCTTCAAAATTTTAAATTAATTTTCAAAAGTTAAAGATTTGAACGAATAAATTTAAATTAATATAAAATAGTATAAATGCAAATTTCTAAAAATTTCCAAACAAAAACTTTGTTCTGCCACTATTAATAGATGTTACAGTTGCAATGAGATAGTTGCTGAATCTTCCTCAAAACGTAAATGTAACGAAACATGAATTTAACTTAACACACAAGAATCTTGAGAGAAAATGTAGCATTTTAGACTGAAAATTTAAATGTTATTATAACATGCAAATTATAATAATAAAAGTTTTGTACTCTATAATTTAATTATAAAATTTTTACACTTCTGAATATAAAAAAGATATTTTTAATTTTTTAGATAGATATTTTTAAAAAGATATTTTTATTTTTAATTTTTACGCTATTAATCAAAATCTCTTCGTTAAATAATAATAATAATCATTTTATACTCCGATCGGTTTGCAATTGCTAGTTGATCTATTAAAATTTATAAGATTTATACTTATTGTGGAAAACGAATTCAAATATAGTACTTACCTGGTCGAAGAACGTTGGAATTCTGCAACAACGTGTCTTTTAGCAGGCTTCGCGATTTGCTTATGGAAGCCTCGGAAAATCCGGGCAATCTAATTTACCGATAATTTCACCAATATATTCGCCAATATCTTCAATCATTAGCTGATGTGTCTATTTGCAATCACTCACGAATGCGAATTGAACTTAATCTAGGAGAAATGCGTTTATCTCCAATATCCGACTTTTACTTTCATGTAGGATTAAAACATAATTATTGAATTAAAAATGTCGTTTATGGAGAAAATTATTAAGAAATCTCAGTTATGTATACTATATATATATGTATACTATAATATAAATAATTATTTTTGCGTGATTTTTTATATTAAGATATAAAAATTAATATTCCAGATTACTTTGGGACACTTATTTTCATATTTAAATGATTTATTTATATCAAAATTCAGAATGGAATTCTTTTATATTTTTTATAATAATGTATAAAAATATATAAAGAATAAAGATATATATTAGAAAGATATTATATTCAAAAATAGACATAAACGCGTCCATTAAAATATAGTGCACATAAAGTTATAAAAAAAAATGTTATCTTGATCTATTGTAAGTTACAGGTTTCGATTTTAATATCGTTAAATTAAAACATGATTTATTGGAAAACATATCTCTCAGATAGTCAAACATATACAAAGAATAAATTTAAATAATCAGATAGTAAAGAAATGGTTTCTATTTTGTACTGGCGGTATAGATTTGAATAATAATTTAATGTTTGAATTTACCGCTAAAACTCATGCAGTTGACAATTTGTTTATTGACTACATTCAATAGAGGTAATATGAGATTTTTGCAATTGCTAAGCAGCGATTTAATATTATTAGTTATTATTAAGATTCAATAAAATTAATTTTAGGTATCATAACTTTATTGATATGTAGAAAGAAGATACGTGTTTATTGTATAGTATATGCAATCAGCTGTGATGATCTATGTGTACGATCTCAAAATTAAGGACGATATTATTATCTCTGCAGATTGAAGTTAAATAATTTAATCTGTAATTTTACAAAGTAAAAGAGGTAAGTAGGTAAATGGTGTTAGATTCTTTCAGAATTCATCAGTTTTAAATGTATAAAGTTTTACATTAATCTTAAAGCTAGTTCTAACCTTACTTTCCTTTTTTTATAGCAAATTTAATTAGTAGAGGAGACTAATATCGTTTAGTCAATATGAATAAATATGTGAACTTGGCAAATGTAGGCACTAATTATGCCATACGCATGAATCGTTTGAGTAACCGAATCTTTGGTGAAGTAGTCAGGACGACTAACCAGAAATCGATGAAAGTTGTGAAGCTATTCAGTGAGAAACCGGTGAACAAACGACCGGAGATCGTAGAATATTATCCGAGATACAAAGAGACGGAAAAGCTGATGACATACTTGCGTGATTACGGTCTCTTCAGGGATGAACATAAAGATTTTAAAGAGGAATACCAGCGTTTGCGAGAACTTCGTGGTAAAGTCAAATGGATACCACCTCCTTTTAGAAACAAATCCAAGGATTCAAACAATACATCCTAGGATTCATCTATATTTGAATTTGAATAAGTATGATAAATTTAAAGAATATATTTTAATTTGTAAATAACAAATATACTATAAATCATGCAGCTTAATGGAATTAAGTATTCTCCCTTTTCATGATACATGATTTTTTTTCACTTCTAAAAATGATATCTCCACATACTTTTTCTAAATGATAGATTTGTTAGATTAGATTAATATTAACATTACAAATGTTACAAACTTTTTAACATATTTTAATACAGATTAACATATGAACTTATGATACTTTTATTCTAAACACAAACGAATCTTATATATAAAATAAGTTTTATTACAAAATTTCTAACAATACAATAGATATGGCATTTAATATATATCCAAGTATGTATTAAAGATAATATTACAAGATAATATTACTAATATTTACAAATTACTTGTACATACAATATTGGAAGTTTGTTGCATATATTGCTATATGATATAGGATCACATTTCGTTTAATCAATTAATAAAAAGTATGAGAATTTATTCGTTTATTCCTAATAGTTTTATAATTCTTGCTTCATATTTTGAGGATTAATCCTCGTATTTTTTTTATTATTTACATCGTCTTTGGACAATTTCTTTTTTTCTTGTTTCTTATTATCTTTGCTAGTGTCAATCTTTTCATACAGGCAGGAATCATTTTGCCCTTTTAATGCGCGTTCAGTACATAAATATCTAGATAATAAATTACAAAAATTGATATTAATTTCGAAAATAATATTAATACAGTTGACATAAATACATCCTGGAATGCTTACTTAATTAAAGAAATCTTTCCCTGATAATTATGATACCAATTTTCAATGTCAGCTTCATGATTTTCCAGCAAATCTTCACATTGTGTTTTTAGAGTAGTTATCTCTACAGAAGGCTTATCCCACAACTCATAGGGAATACCTAAATCTACGTTAACTCCTCTATCTCTATAATTACAAATATATTTTGTTAATTTTCAGAATATTACATATAGTGTATGATATTGCATTATTAAAAGCATATCTTACACAAGATTATGTAATGTTTTGAATGTTTGACTCATTCCTTTTGCAAATCTTGTACTGTCCGTACGTTCTTTATGTATATTATATTCTAATATGCGTTCACAAACATTTTCCATAGATTCTACTAATCGCAGCTCTCTGGAAAAATAAGAATTACATTAACTTCATCAGAAGAACCTCATATACTGTCGTAATATGATACTTACGACTTCCTATATTCTTTCTTCTTCTTTGGCATGATATCGTCTACTGAATATCCAATCTCTAACACATCACGTGTTTTTCCTGTCTCATCTAACCTGGCCTCAAGTTCTGTAGCTAAAACTTTACACACTGTAACAGATTTATTGTTAATATTAGAGGAATCTCCATTAATATTTAAAATTATTATACAAAACTTTCTGCACGAGATTCTAAGATGGTTCTAAATTTTTCTACATTTCCATCTTAAAATTCGTATGTTATTCCAAATTAATTACCTTCGCATTTATCAGCGTACTTCACTCCTTGTTCCTCTTCGGGACCACCGAAAGCAAAATACGCCAACAATAAATTTAATAAAATAGCACGAGTCACTGGCAGCATCGTAGCTTATATGTCAAATAAAAGAAGTCTATCGATTGATTATGGAATCACTGGAATGTCACTAAAGATACACCATGTCATATAATGCAACCGACAATAATTCTGTAACAATCGTTGCTTTCCATTTACCTAGAAACTCAGATAATTGTTATTTGTAATGTCATATCTCAGTTGAATGCATGTTTCTTTTCATTTCGACAAGTTTGAAGATTGAACTGAGTTTTAACCTACAATTTGCACACGCTCAAGACTATATACTTTGATAAGTCTTATTAATTCACATTAAAAGTAAAAATGGAAAGCAACTTACAACTGCTCACAATATCAAAACGAATTTGAATACTCGAGCAATGCTTGTGTGCGTGATGCCTGAGAGTCGCTTATGCGATTTGCAATAGTATTATCATCTGCCATATGTGGAATCTATTGATTGGTTCAGGAATAGGGAATTTTTAGAGCTTCCCAAACATGAATTCTCTACCCGCAGTACCTTTGATTCAAAAAATAGGAAAGATTGTATTGGAATACAAAATTACAATATGATCTTTTTTATTTTATTATGTTACGCTATAATTTTTTTAATATTCTTTTTATATCCTTAAAAGAAAATGTTTTTTTTTTTTTCTTAAAGAATATCATTAGCATTTGCCTTTCTTTTTTATAATAAAAAAGACGCTATTTTAAACTTCGTATATATAATACATAATAATGAAGCATTTCTTTAAAAATGCTTTATATAAATATTTAAATCTAAGACAGCTGCAGTTCATATATAAATAAAATATAAATATTGATGAAGAATCTTATAAAATATTATATAATAAAAATATAAAATAATGGCAGTAAAGCGGTAGAATAGTCGCATCTTTTTTCTTTTTAGCGCAATTTATAACATGATCTGTGCACTAAATTGAACGAGGAAACATATTTGAAAAAATCGTTAATAAATTAAATATTAAAGATCAGAGTAGGATACTCTCATGGAATTTCAAAGAAAGGCAAAGTCTTTACACTTACACAAAATGCACATTGATTATATAATGCTCATAGATCGGCGGTAACGTTTTCTAGTATTAGTTATAATAGGCGCTGATACGGGAGCGGGAGGGGTTACGGGTGTAACTGGCGTCACCGGTGTAAGAGGAGTTAGAGAAGTTTCAGCCATTTGAGCTGAAGAGGGGGGCCTGAGCTACCAAATGTAATTTTCAGTTTGTGGAGCTCGCATCACTCCCACGCCTCCGCCAAGCCTCCTATAATTCATGCAACCACAGAGCTTCCATTGATTTTGTTCTGGATCGTATACTTCAATTGTCTTCAGATACGCGGTTCCATCAAATCCACCTACAGCATATAACTGACCGTTTACTACTGCTAGACCTACCTGAAATTCATGACTATAATTATTATCGATAATTAATATAATAATCAATAATTAAATCAATGATCTGAGAATTCAGCATTATAATTACATTTAAATTATGAAATGACTTAAGTATTAATAATTTATTTACATGCAGAAAAATTTTTCAATTTATATTATTTTTCATATAATTCGCGCATCTCTCCCCCCCCCCCACAATCCCCACAAAAAAAGAAACAAACTTACTCCACTTCTCCTAGATGTCATCGCTACTATAGGACTCCAAGAATTTGTATGGGGATTATAACGTTCTGCACTGGAGAGTTCCATACAATCGTCTCGTCCTCCCACAGCATAAATTAGATTATTAAATACAGCACAGCCTAGATGTTTACGTCTTGTAGACATTGGGGATACTTGAGACCATTTGTTCTGTCTTGGATCGTATCTTTCTACCGTATTGAGAGGTGACTGTCCATCAGACCCGCCGATGGCATATAAATAACCTCCAAGCACAGCAACCGCTACTCCCAATCTTCTAGTAGTCATTGGCGACACTTTAGACCATTTATTTTCTTTTGGATCATATCTGTGGAGTTATACGTGTAATGTTATGCTAA